GGAAGGGGGAGAGGAAGAAAGGAGGAGGAGGAGGAGGAGGAAAAAGGGAGGAAGGAGGAAAAAAGGAGGAGGGGGAAAGGGAGGAGGGAGGATGAAGAGAAAGGAGGAAGGATGGAGGAGGAGGAAGGAGGGAGGAGGATGGAGGCGAGGAGGAGGAGGGAAGGAGGGGGAGGAGAGGAGGAGGGAGGAGGAAGGGAGAAGGAGGAAGAGGAGAGATGGTGGGAGGGGAGGAGGAGGAGGAAAAAGGGAGGATGGGAAAAAGGGAGGAGGAGGATGAAGAGAAAGGAGGTGAAGAGAAACGAGGAAGGATGATGAAGAGGAGGAGGAAAGAAGGAGGATAGACTCAATAAAAGATAATCATTATCTAGTCACGTTCTTTTTTCTCTCTATCTCGTTTTTTTTTTTTTTTTTTTTTTTTTTTTTTGCGTATGGACAGGATATTTTCTTTTTCTTGTATGGATGACACACATGAGAAAAGACAATACATTTAGATTATATTCTTCAATATTCTCATTTACTTATTATTATACCAAAGATCTGAAACTATTTTTTTTTCGTGTAGGCCTAAGGAATAGAGAACATAGATATCCATTTTTTTTATTTTTTATCTAAGCCTATGATATAACACTAATGTGATTGATTGATTGATTGATTTCTTTTTTTCGTAGCTTAAGGCGAGTGGAATCACAGAATAGAAGTGGAAGGGAAAAAGGAGAAATTACATGAAAGAAAATCCGGAAAAAAAAAAAAAAAAAAAAAAAAAAAGATTAAGGGGAAAAAATTAGAAAAAAAATCTGAAAGAGGAAGGCCAAAAAGAGCCGAAAAAGATGCAGAAGGACAGAAATACCAGAAGGGACGAAGGGAAAAGAAAATACAGGTTGAAGAAAAAGGCTGGACAAAATACGTGGGAGGTCAAGAATGGAGAGAAATTAGAGGTGGATATATAAACCTACCCCTTACCAATCCACGCACACACACACGCACAAACATTTCCACACCCCGAGTTCTTTTTCCTTTCAGCTTTAGATTTCTCATTAGACGCTCAATAACCTCCATTACGTGTGTTTTATGAGTGACCACAAAGCTCAGGCATTTTTTTTCCCCGTCTGTTTTCGTTTCTCGGACTCCCATTTTGTGGCCAATCGTGACTTTCTCACTTCTTTTGTTCTCGGTGCGTCTCTCCTTTTTTTTCTCTCTCTCTTTCCCATTCTGTCTCTGTCTGTCCTGGTGGCTCGTCTCTGCCTGTCTGTATGCATGTCTCTGTCTGTCCCACTTTCTTTCAACTCTCTCTCCTTATCTCTCTTCTCTCTCTTCTATCTCTCTCCTCTCTCTAATCTATCTCTCCCTCCCTCCCTCCCCCCACTCTCTGTATGTATGTCTCTCTCTCTCTCTCTCTTCTCTCTCTATCTATCTCTCTATCTCTTCCCTCCTCTCCCTCTCTCCCCCTCTCTCCTCTCTCTCCTCTCCTCCCTCCCCTCTCCTCCCTCCTCTCCTCTCCTCTCTCTCCCTCTCTCCCTCTCTCCCTCTCTCCCTCTCTCTCCTCTCTCTCCCTCTCTCCCTCTCTCCCTCTCTCCCTTCTCTCCCCTCTCTCCTCTCTCCCTCTCTCCCTCTCTCCCTCCTCTCTCTCCCTCTCTCTCTTCTCTCTCTCTCCTCTCTCTCTCCTCTCTCTCTCTCTCTCCTCTCCTTCTCTCTCTCTCTCTCTCTCTCTCTCTCTCTCTCTCTCTCTCTCTCTCTCTCTCTCTCTCTCTCTCTCTCTCTCTCTCTCCTACGCCGTTATATTGGCTACAGGATCAAAAGGAGCATCCCGGCCATCAGTGTACAAAAAGGATCCTCCAAAATGGAAGAAGAGGAAGGACTAGCTATCTATCTACTAATCTATCCGCATGTCTATCTTTCTGTTTATCTAATCTATCGATATCTCTCTTTCGATCTGATCGGTCTATTTATCCATTTATCTGTCTATCTATCTATCCATATTCTGATCTGTCTATCTATCTACAGGGAGAGCTAAAAACAGAGAATGAAAGATAAAAAGAAAGAAAGAAAGAGATCTATCGAATCTCATCGATCTTTTATCCATTTAATCTATCTATCCATTTTCTGATCTATCTATTTATCTACAAGGAGAGCCTAAAGGACAGAGAATGAAAGAGAAAAAAGAAAAGAAAAAAAAAAAGAAACAGAGAAAAAAACGAGACAGATTGTCGAGTACTTTGATCAGCTTTTGTCACAAAGGTCATATAAAAGGCACTAAAGGGGTAGGGAGGGGGAAGGCAGAGGAGAGGAGGAGAGGGAGGGAGAGAGAGGAAGGGGAGGAGGGAGGAGAGAGAGAAGACAGGGAGGAGGGGAAAGGGAGGGAGGGGCAGTAGGAGAGAGGGGGAGGAGGGAGAGAAGAGGAGAGACAGGGAGGGGAGAGAGAGAGAAGGACAGGGAGGAGGGGAAGGAAGAATAGGGCAGTAGGAAAGGAGGGAAAGGGAGGGAGGGGAGAGGCAGTAAGTAAGAAGGGAAGGGAAGAGGAGGAGGAGACAGGATGGAAGGGGAAAAGGGGCAAAGGGGGCAGAAGGAAGGGAGGGAAAAGGAAGGAAAGGAAACAGAAAGAGAAGAATAAGTAAGCAAAGAGGAGGAAAAGAGGAAACGGAAATTAATGGAAGAAAGGTGTCGAGCGGAGAAAAGAAAGAAAGAAAGAATTAGGAAAGGAAGAATTAAGAAAGAATTAGAAAAGAAGAAATAAAAAAAGAATTAAGAAAGAAAGAATTAAGAAAGAAGATTAAGAAACAAAGAATTAAGATAAAAAGAATTAAGAAACATAAAAATTAAGAAAGAAAGAATCAAGAAAAAAAGAATTAAGAAAACAAAAATAAAAAAAAAGCGGCTCGTTTAGGAAACGAATATAGACTGGGGGAGGAAGGGGGAGGGAAGGGGAGAGGGTATAAGAAGGAGAAACAGGTGCGGGATAATTATAAGTGACAGCTCGTGTCGACTAAACTGCCTTTCAGACAGTAAAAGACCCACGTATCATGACTGCCGTTTTAACTATCATTTGGCTTATATTTAGCACGTGGTTTTGGACAGGGTGCCAAATGCGAGATCTGTTCTTTATTGTTATTGTTATCATCTTAGTTATTATTATTGTTGTTGTTGTTATTATCATCTTCGTTATTATTGTTGTTGTTGTTGTTGCTCTTATTCCACGCTCCCCACTTCCCCTTCTACTCTCCCCTCTCCCTTCTCCCTCCATCCCTTCTTTTCCCCTCACCCTCTCTCCCTTCTCTCCTTCCTCCTCCTCCTTCCTCTCCTTCTCCCTTCCAACCACTCTCCCTTCCCTCTCGTCCCCTTCCACCCTCTCTCCTCCTTCCCTCCTCTCCCCTCCCTCTCCACTTTCCCCTCCTCCCCCTCTCCACCCTCTCTCCCCTCCTCCTCCACCTCTCTCCCCCCTCTTCCCTCCCCTTCCACCCTCTCCCTCCCCTCCCTCCCCTCCCTCCACCCTCTCTCCACCCTCTCTCCCTCCCCCCTCCACCCTCCCCACCCTCCCACACACACAATAGCCCCGAGCATCTTTCTCTCGAACCGGGTACTATCAATCGCCCAATAACAATCCATCTCGGTCTTGCAGTTCTCTCGCACCAAGATTTGCACTGGCTCTTAATGCAGACGGATGCCGGCCTCGCATTCTCGGCGGCTGCACTCTGCTGGCAATCTATCATTATTATATTATTATTATTATTATATTATTATTATTATTATTATTATTATTATTATTATTATCATTATTATTATATTATTATATTATTATATTATTATTATTATTATATTATTATTATTATTGTTATTAGACGAATTCCTGATGGAGTTGTTCGGATGGGATTAGCGGAGTGAAATCCCTTGTGTTATTGTGAGATCGTTGGACATCTACGTAGATGTAGATGTAGATATGGGTGTGTGTGTGTGGGGGGGCGGGGCGTGTGTGTGTGTGTGTGGTGTGTGTGTGTGTGTGTGTGTGGTGTGTGTGTGTGTGTGTGTGTGTGTGTGTGTGTGTGTGTGTGTGTGTGTGTGTGTGTGTGTGTGTGTGTGTGTGTGTGTGTGTGTGTGTGTGTGTGTGTGTGTGTGTGTGTGTGTGTGTTGTGTGTGTGTGTGTGTGTGTGTGTGTGTGTGTGTGTGTGGTGTGTGTGTGTGTGTGTGTGTGTGTGAGAGAGGAGAGAGAGTTAGAAGAGAGATGAGAGAGGAGAGAGAGAGAGAGAGAGAGAGAGACTGAGACGAGAGACTTAGAGAGAGAAGAGAGAGAAGAGAAGAAGAGAAAGTACAAATATATGATTATGGATATAGACAGATAGACAGACAGACAGACAAACGGACAGGTAGATAGATAGAGAGATAGACAGATAAACAAGGAGAAAGAGAAGATTAAAAAATTAAAAGAAAAAGAAGATATAGAAATTAAAAGAAAAGAAGGAAAAATAGAAATTAAACAATAGAAGAAAAAAAAATAGAAATTGAAAGAACAGATAGAGATAGAGAGAAGCAGAAGAAAAAAAGTATTGACCACCGATGTGCAAATATCCATATAGCTTTGCCAAAATCCAGGTTGTTAGTCAGACTTCCCTATCACCAATAAAAGAAAAAAGAAAAAAGAAAAATAGGAACAAGAAAAATAAGAAAGAAGGAGAAGAAAAAAAATTCTGTCTGATGTCGTTTATTCAACCGATATGGGCCGATTTTTTTTTTTTTTTTGGTGTAGTTGCCATGTGATATTTTTTTTTC